GGCGTGGCAAGCCAAATATGCTCTTGAGGATGAGAGGGCAGCGAGGAAGGCAGGCGCAAAGTGGAAAGAAACATTCCTGCGCATTCTGTTTTGGAACGAAACATTCCTGCGTATTCCGTTTTGGTTCATGCTAAGCTTAAAAAAATTGTTGTTATTACGCAGTTTGTCTGAGGATTTGATTCTTCTTTTCCATTCCAGGTGGTCGAGGCGGAGCTACTACAGACTGCTGCTTCCACTTCCTCTTCATCTTCACATCGGCAGCGGCCATGCCCAAGCGTTCCTTGCTTTCAAACTTTGTGAGTTGGTTGCTCTGGTTCTTCTACGTTTCTGTCTGCTTTTTGATTTGCTCCTTTTGTGTTTGTTGGCGCCGTCTTGGCGATTCTAGTATCTAGTAGTGTATCTAGATGGTTGGCAGGGGGAGCCCTTCAATCTTTGATGTTTTTTTGGTGGCGAGGATTCAAAGAAGGAGCCTGAAAGCAAGCAGGTGAGGAAGAGCTGACGGGCGGCGCTGAAGCAGCAACGGTGAGAAAAAATGAAGTCAGCGGCCTGCTTGGTTAGACAGTGGCATGTGCATGACAAACGCGGGATTTATGGACATCACAAAGTTGCATTCTAGTCTGTATGGTGAAACTTCTAAGTTACTCAAATTGTCAGAATCAATTGGCATCATGTTTCTGTAGTAAGGTCACGCGTTGCTCGCCTTACTGTTCCCTCACCTTTTTCCACTTGGGAATCGATTAACTGAAAACCAATGTCAGAGTGTGTGTGTGTTTTTTTGCCCTGGGAGCTGAAAGGCTGGGAGCTCAAAGGCAACCACTCAGTGTCAGCTTACCCAGCAAACCCTCGCTGGGCCCTTTGGGCCAGTTTTCATGACAGGTTGAGAGTTGATGTAAGCTTTGCTGTGGTCATGTTGGTCACTGTGCATGGTAAGTGGTATTGGTGTCACTGTGGCCTGCTCGTCAGGGCAGAAAGCGGCCTATTGATGACGCGGATGACAACGAGTTCGAGGTTGAATGAATGCATTTGCGTGGTTACTTGTGCAGGGTGGAGCACTTCGCTTGCTTGTTGTTTTTTTGGAGGGGGTTTGTGAGCGCCCATGTAACCTTGCTATCAGGAGGTGATTGACGAAGCCGCTGAACCGCACACTTCGAGCGCATCCAGACCTGACCCCACATCCACGGAGGCCTGAGGTTGAGAAACAAACCATTTCTATATTGGCATCTGATACTGCTTGCTCGCAAAAAGCATTCTTGTGGACTTGTGGGGCCTTGTGACATCTCCTCACATGGCATTTGAACCCAGGAGCTTGGAATAGCAGCGAAAGCTCACAAGAAGAAGGCTTGTCTCGTGACAGGTGTTCGTACGTCCGCCACATGTTTGATGAGTTGAGTTGCTTGCCTGTGAAAGTTGCTTGTCTCATGATGTGAGTTGCTTGTCTCCACATGTCGGCCTGTGCGTTCCAGGCGATGCCAAAAGGATCATCTACCTCGAAATTCTCGACTTTGCCAACGCCGCCTCCAAAGCCCAGCCTGCGTCTTTGTCCCCCGCCGCCACCACCGCCACTGGCGCCCAGTCCTCGAACTCTACCGCCAACACCGCCACCGGTACCGAAACTGCCGATCCCTCCTGCACCGCCAGCTCCACCAGCACCGCCATCTTCACGCCACCCTTTCCCCCCAGATCCTCCAACAATGCCACAGGTTCCGAAGGCGTTGGTTGTCATTGTGTTTGGCATGCACTTGATATCATTCTGAAGCTTGACCTTTGGATTCGTAAACATGTTGCGCACGCAGGTATGTCTCGCGTGTAGTTTGTCATAGTTTGGCCATGTTTCTCCTGGCCAGGCACTTCAACCATGGGCGGCTGCGTTGACCCGGGATGTGAGTGGAAGGGGGTGGTACATGGGGAACCGCTTCTTTGACAATGACGGCAATTTGATGCCGTGACTTGGTTGCATGAGGACTTGCGTGAACTTGAGTGACAATGTTGTAATTTTCCCCTTGGATTGGCCTCCAAAAAAAGACCCCCACAAGTCCGGTTCGACCTGCTTGAAATGCAGGTTTTGAAGGGGGAAAACCGGACTTGTGGGGGTCTTTTTTCACAGGCCAATCCAAGTGGAAAATTAGCAGGGAGAGAATGCTGCTGAGTGAACTTAGTTGCATGACCTTTTAGCTGTACACTTGGTCGCGTGATCACTGAAACACATTTCATCTAAGGGTTGATCTACGCCGCGTAGCAGGGGCCAAGGGTGGCACGGTCGAGCGTGGGCGGCGGTGACTTGTTCGCATGGGGTGGAAACATCGCAAAACACCTTGGGCTTGTTTGCTGACCTTGGGCTTGTTTGCTTGGGCTTGGGTTCATTGGGGAGCGTGCCCAGGTGGACAAACTGGCTTCTGCCACTTTGAAGCTTGCTGAGGCAAGTGGCAATCGTCGACGCGGTGTTCGAAGCTGTTTGATAGACTTGTGGGGCCGTCGTCCAAAGCTGTGCACACATCTGCAAACAAGTCATTCACAACTGCGTCATTCACAACCGTGGCAGGGGCGATCGAATGAGGACACCAGTGATCCATGCGGTGATGCACGCGGCCCGGGGCAGGGCTAGTGAGAGATGGTGGTAAATCTATGAGACATTGTACTGAAGCAACAATGGTCATTTAACTCTTCAACGCAACACATGTTGTTTATCACGTCTCATGTCAAGAAGCTGGCCGCTAGCCCTGCAGTGTATGATCCACTTCGTTCTTCGTCTGTGACACGGTCACTGGAAGTGGAGAGGTAAGAAAAGTGTGCTTGTCACAGGAAATTTAAGGCAGATGTGTTTTCGAAACTCTGTTGTTGGTCGACTTTGGGACTGTGTTGGCTGTTTGGGAGTGACACTCAGAGTTTATAGATTGATAAGCTTTTTGTGTTTGATCTGCGTTTTTTTATAGATTGATATTTTTTTGTGTTTGATCTATGGTTTTTTATAGATTGATACAATTTTTGTGTTTGATCTATGGCTTTTTTTTATAGATTGATAAAATTTTTGTGTTTGATCTATGACTGTCTTATAGATTGATACACTTTTTGTGTTTGATATATAGTTTATTTATAGATCGAAAAAATAACTTCACATGGTCACTAGGCATGCTGGAGGCAAACGAAGCACTGAAGCAAACATACTCTCAGGAAGTGTCAACAGAGATCGTTGCCAGACAGCAACGAGAACGTTTCGTGTGAGTGCAACAATGGTTCGGAAAATTGTTTTCTCCCATCAAACTTTCATGTAATTCAAGCTTACTTGGCGGTGCTGTGAGAGAATGAAGCCTGTAAAAAATCACCTCTTCACGTGGTGCATTGACCTTGGATAAGAGCTCTGATGTGAAAGATTGCAAAATGGTGCAACGTTCGCGCAGTGAATGGAAAATACTGTGTGCGAAGCTTGCGTACGCAAATCAACACAATACCGAAAGATGTTGATGTTAAAACTCCACCACCTGGCCATGACTTCCACGGTATTGTTGGTTTGCAAGCGGAACATCCCAACGAAGCGAAGCGAAGTTTGAAAAGAGTTCATGACACTCCACCACTTTGCCATGACTTCCACGGTGTTGATTTGTAAGCACAGCTTTGAAAGAGTAGCTCATGAAGATGGCATGCATTGTGGCAAAAACAAGTCACTTTCATTAAGACTTTTGGAAAAGGTTGTTCTCAGCCTTTCATGTTTGTCCCCGTTGCTGACAGGTGAATACTTCATGCGCTTCAATGGCGCCACATGCATGTGATGATTCGTTGGTTTGTTTGTTTGATGGACATCCGCATGCAGGGAGTACATCTCGCATGCAGAGCATTGCTGCCCAAGTGTGTTGGTGTGTTTGTTCAGGCTCCCATTTTCTAGTGCCCGGCCATGCCGATCATCTACGAGAGGGTTGATGTTCCTCACAGCTTCAAGATGGGCGATCCTCTTCCAAAAGCAAGAAAATGGCACGCGGTTTGGGAAGGCCAGAACAAGAAGGTGGAAGAGCGGTCCAACATCTTTTTCCATTGCTCCGCCATCTCCAGTGAAAGCACCCACAAGTTCTCCTTCTTTGAGGCAAATGAACATGAAGATCTTCTGCGATGGAGGTATTTTGGGAAGAAGCAACAGTTCATGGACAAGCTGATTCGCCCCATTCGGGGGGACTTGATTGTCAAGCTGCATGTGATTCCTTCGGATGACGGCCTCAGGCAGCTGGTTTGCTTCAATGCAGCCTTCAGTGGAGACAACATGTACCGAGCCATTTGCTACTTCACGGCAGACCGAGTCACCGTTGCCTCAATGCTGGACGACTTTCGCCCTCATGCTGTGCGGCTGAACCTCGTCACGTGGAACCAAAAGATTGTGGCGGTTCAAGTCGGCCTCAAGCAGCTATTGTGGAAGCCGGAAGGGATGCGCCCGCATGTGCCTCAGTGGCTTGAAGACATCGAGCCGTTGGAGTCAGACTCCAGCGGAATCGACATGCTCACAGACAGTGAGGAGAGCTCTGAGTCGACCACGCTGATTTTGGGGCAGCAGTGAGACATCCAATCCATGGAGCCGAGAGAGATCCAGGGCTTCACGATGCTATCGTGAATGGTTTGCCGTGGCGTATGATAACCAAAGCAGTTGCCATGAGCCGAAAATGGTCCACCCTCCTGTCCTCTTATTCAAAGCAGTCTATTTATCGAAATGTGCACCTTTCGGTAATCAAGATCATGAGGGCTCAATGGTAATAAGAAGTTTTGGCCTGAACCCCCATCGGTTGCTTCAATTTTGAAAGGGGTGGCCTGACGAGCTTGCAGCAGAAAACAAAACGCTTGCAAGTCTTGCTTGCTGGGCGCAATTGGATTGACATGTTCCAGCTATAGGCTTGCGTTTACCATGATTTGCCATGAGATGAGTATCGCTTGTCTTAACTTGGGCAGCTTGTTGACTTAACATGTCTCCTTGTTTGCGTCGCTTGAGCGTCTCTCAGTGCAGTCTCCAGCTTTGCGTGCCCAACATGGAACAAATCGTGGCGCAGGTGGCTGCGCTGACCAGAATGCTTGAGACCGTGACAGGTGAAGCGCAGAAGGCGGCCATTTGTGATGCCCATTGTGCCTCCATCAAGACCCAGTTGCAAAACTTGACCGTGTCAGCTGGTGACGTCGAGCAATTCTCAACAGCCATGGTCGAGTCTGGTTGCTTGGAGTATGTGGTGTTTTTTTCCGATGGTTTTGTGAACACTGGGTTTCTCACCATAGACAGCTTTCAGTCAGTATTTTTTCGAAATGTCGACTATTCGAGCACCTTTCGATAAGCAAGATCATGAGGGCTCAATGGTAATGAGAAGTGTTGGCCTGACCCGCCTGACCCCCATCGATTACTTCAATTTGAAAGGGGTGGCCTGACGAGCTTCCTTTGGGCAACAGAAAACCAGGTTTGAGGCCACCGCTTCCCATGCTGGAACTGTTTTGGAAACAGCGGTTGTTATAGCGCTGTTCAAGCCTTCCTCTTGCCAAGTGAGGCTTGAACGATGCGCAGATTGGTGAGTTGATTGAAGCTGCATCGGACAGGTTGGCATCTTCCAGCATCTCGCCGCCAACTGCACGGAAGAGCCTTCAGAAATTGGTTGACATTTGCCCTTTCTTGCTACCTGCTGAGCTGCAGACCCTCAAGTCCAAGGAACACCTACACCAGAAACTTATGGTGATGGCACGGAGGGCAGTGCTCATTGGGTTGACAAACCCCACTGAGCCGACGACTGGTGGAATGGTCAAAACTTTGGAGCTGCTAGGTTCGCATGCCTTTCCAACTGGAAAGGCTTACGTGGACGCTGTCACTGAGCTCAAAAGCTACATTCGATCGGAAAGAGTGAAACTTCCGGCCGCGGCAGTGCATTTGACAGAGTTTCCTGCTAGTGCATCTGGTTTACCCCCGGAGCTGTATACTCGCGCGTATGGCACTGATGAAGAACCATGCGGAGAAGAAGGCCCAATGGCTCATGGCATTTCTGGACCGGTCAGGAGGAGTTCTAGGTTGGTGCAAGGTGCAAGTTCTTCGTCCATGGGATCTGGCAGCTGCGCTGATTCACCTGGCAATAGTTTTTAGGGATTCTGACCAAGTTTATAAACAACACATTTGCTTCGCTGGCAAATTGTTGTTTCTGTTTTCATGTTGTTTGGGACACTTGCATGGGCAAGCAAGGTATGCAGCTTGACCTGGCCCCTACCAGCGCAAACACATGCATGGGCACAAACTCTTCAATGCCTGCCATGGCTGCCAACATGGGCCAGTTCATGATGCATTTCCAAACCATGGCGCAGATGTTTCACATGTTCGGCGGTGGTGGGTCGCATGGTCACCATCAAGAGTCTCAGCCTGCTCACAGGCCTCAACGAGCAAGGACACAGTTGGCTTTGACAAATGCTGAGGAGCAACCGGAAGCCGCAGACCAAGAGCTGCAGGAAACTCCTCAGGAAGATGAGAATCGGATGCAGCCACTCAAGCCTGCTCAACAGGCAGACATGATGCTCAACGCGTGGAGCAACAGATCAAAGCAGCGTCAGACTCAGAAAGAAGCTGTGGAAGAAGAAGAAGAACAAAAAGGAGCCGTTGAAGAAGGTGAAGACGCAAAGGTTTTGAAGAAACCTGCCATGAAAAGGCCTGCAGCCTCCCCTGCTTCATGCCCCAGAAGAAGCCTTCTACCAGTGCCAGTTCTACCAGCCTATGGAGAGTGGAAACTCGTACGAGGGGCGATGGAAAGCAGAAGGACAAGTACTACTTTGCACCGGATGGCAAGAGGTTCAGGATCCTGTCAGAAGCAAGGGCCTATGGCTATGATGGCTGAACCAATGGATGCCTCCCGCACGCCGTGCAAATCTTTGCTGTGGCATGCCGGGTTTTGAGTGACACCGGACACCTGCTGTGTCAAAAAGTGATTCCAGCAATTGCGTGAACCTGTCATGACACTTTGTATGAATATGATCTTGCATCTTGCTGTATTGTGCTGTGGTCG